GGGTTCAGGGTTTAGGGTTTAGTGTTAGGGGACCTAAAAGGGACCCTAACTTAGAGAACTACCCATGTACTTGGCTTACGGATAGTAGGTTTGTAGGCTAGTACTCAGAAGCGTATATGATTATCATGTACTTGGACCCTTAGGGAAAACCCTCAAGACAACACAACCTAAAGATTAAATCCTTGCTGCCCCCCTACGTATGGGAAAAGCAAACCTTCCCGAGCGCGTAGGGACTACGTTGCCGCAGAAATTCGAAAGATTGGGGTTTAGGGCCCCACAGGATCGCCGCCGAAGCTAAAAGAGAAAGACTTCGACGGAAAATCCCAACAAAAAGGAAAGCAGCCTGACCGACCCAGGGCCCCGGTTTAGGGTTTAGGGTTTAGGGTTTAGGGTTTCCTTACAGACCCTGAATCCTAAACCCTACCCCACGACGTCACCTCCGGAACGCTGGGGAAGAACATCAGTCCCACCTCGCGAGCACTGGAATGTTTACCTTAACCAAAACCTACATTTTAGTAGCGTCCCTATAACTCCATATTAGAGTTTATGATAATTAAGAACCTACAAAAAGAGTCGGTTCTAGAGGCTGAAGGTAGGGGTTGTCAAACTTCTTCAACAGCCAAAAACTGGGGTTTGGGTTTAGGCTTGACGGTGTAGGGTAAACTTTCAGAAGAGATGTGTTTATACGTACTGTTATTTATTGGTTGCGATGCAGTTCTCTGCGATGTTGCTACATGTGCTTCTGCGGGGGCTGGTCGTTCACTGGTGGTGAATACAACACAACAGGGTTTGGCAGCATGGTTCTAATAGTCAGATTCACAAAGTTTCGAACGTGTGAAAAGCTGTATACAGGTTTGAGGAGCGTCGGAGATTCTTGGGTTTTACAAACATAGGGGTAAGGGGTATGGATAGCAGCTCATAGGGTAAACCCTATACAACCTAAACCGACAAAGCCCTGAACCCTGAATACAGGGTGTCCGAAACCCTAAACCCTAAACCCAAAATACAGGGTGTCCTGCACCCTAAACCCTGAACCCAAATACAGGGTTTTCTACACCCTAAACCCTGAACCCACAAACAGGGTTTCCTACACCCTAAACCCTAAACCCTAAATACAGGGTGTCCTAAACCCTAAACCCTAAACCTAAATCATTGTGTCCTACACCCTAAACCCTAAACCCTACACCCTACACAATTTCTGGCTGTGATGTGGAAGCTCTTTCACCTCAGACCTGGTCGCAAGCACCCTTCGAGTGGCTTCGAGCTTTAGGATTCAAGTTACGGGTTTCAGGGGTTTTCGGGATAGGGTTTAGGGTTTAGGGCTTGGCGCTTAGGGCTCATACTGCTGATGATCTAAATCCTGCATTACCTTAAGGACCCCAAACTATGGGAATTGTGCTATCTTCCTTATTCTGGGTAATGCAGGATTTATATCATCAACCCTAGACCCTAGACCCCAAACCCTAATCATCAAGCGTAGCAGGATTTCGGGGATGTTGGGCCTATGGACACTGCGCACCCCGCTCGCAAAGCGGTTTAGGGTTTAGGGTTGCTTGAAGTAGCAGTTAGCGTGTGGAGTCGAGGGTGCCGCGCTTCTTCATCGGAGTTTCAGAAACGGTTTAGGGTTTAGGATTTCCGGTCACTGAAGACCCGTCTTACCCAAAGTCCGAAGCTCTAAAGTCGAAAAACTGCTAACCGCTACCCCCAAACCCTTAACCCTAAACCCGTTTTAGGTGCTTAACGTTTATATAGGGTTTGGGGTTTTAAAACCCTAAACCCTAAACTTCAGGGAGCCATACAAAAACAGCCTTTGCAGGCCTGACCGGCTGAGTGTTTTGACAGGGGTGGGGAGAAGGAGCTTGTAAGTCAAGAGGGCTCTTGAGTTAATGTAGGGGGCTTAATAATTACCTACACTATTTTGGGGGGTTCACTATTAGAATTATAGTATCATGGGCCCCCAAGCCCCGTTTTAATTCTTAAGCCCCCTACATTGCCGTTCATGCATAGCTGAAAGCTCCACAGTTGCGTACCTCTAAGCAGCCACGGTGTGGGGTTTGAGGTTTAGGGTTTCGGGGTGCTTCGGCAATAGTACTTCCGTGCAGAACACCACGGTCGGCGGTTAAGTTTGGGACTCAGAACTAAAGAAGCACCCTACTTGGAGGGTCGGGGGACTTAGTAAGTAGGTAATAAGTAGACTTAGAAGTGCTTTAAAAGAAACCCTAATTGGGGCTATGATACTTATAAGTCTGTGAAATAACTATTTACTAAGTCCCGCAACCCTCCAAGTATAAACCCTGGGCTCATATGGAGTGGGCAGGGCCTCTGTGTTGTCCGTCAACTGCCGAATCCCAATCGCAAAGGCATAGGAGATGATGATCCTTGCAGCGGCTCGAGATTGCGTTTGAAGCTAGATCATATAAACCTTCGGAAAGCGAGCGAGCAAGTGTGGATGCGCAACGAACCCTTTGCACAAACAACGAACAAACCCTAACCCCGAAGCCAGAAAGTACCTTAAACCCAAACCCTACATCCCAAACCCTGAACCCTAAACCTTGAATCCCCAAAACCTACACCCTAAACCCTAAACACCTAAACCCTAAACCCGAAACACTAAAGCCCTAATGTAGGGGCCTTGATAAGTAGAATAGGGTTGTGGGGGGCTCCTTGTTACAACTATAGACTAATATACCCCCCAAACCCATTCAAACTGTTAAGGCCCCGGTAGTAACCCTGAACCCAAGACCCTAAACTCAGACTGGGGTCCTTACATGGGGTGAGGCTTATTGGTGAGGCTTAACACGGCTTAGGGTTTAGGGCTTAGGGTTGAGGGGTTTACGGTTAAAGTGCTTATTTAGGATTTAGGAATTTAGGGGTTAGGGTTTGGGGCTGTGGGTTTAGGGGTTTAGGGCTTTGGGGTTTAGGCCCTAGGGGCTAAACCTTGAGCACACCCTTATAAGCCCTCTCCCAAACCCTAAACCCACTAACAGACCCTGATAAGCCCTGGCAACTTTAACAGACCTGAATCCGCTCTCAACCCGACGCCGAGGGGCCAGAACATGAAGAAGACGGAGACGGAGCGCGAGGCATAGCCAATGCCCTCAGGAAGAAAATAAGGTAGGGTTTGGGGTTTAGGGTTTAGGATTTAGGATTTAGGCCTTAATAGTTAGAATGAGGTTTTGGGTTATATTATACTATCATCATAATAAGGAACAAATAGATATTTAGGCCCCTGTATTCCATAAAGGTTTTAGGATTTTAGGGTTTAGGGTTCAGGGGAGTTTCAGAAAATAGAGCTAGCACAGGCCCTAGCAAGATGTCTCTTACAACGGAGTTTCAGGATCCTAGCCGCTCTTCTCAAAATCAGGACCCGCGGCAAGCTTACAGTTCTTGTGAAAACGGAATATACAAACTCAAAAAATCAGAAGACAGCTCCCCTTGGAGGAAGTAAGTTCCTGGCAAGGGGCAAAAGAAAATGGTACCCTAAGGTTTCCGAAGCCCTAAACCCTAAACCCCTGAACCCCAAACCCCTACAACCTAAACCGAAAAAAACAAACCACCTAAACCCGAATACTCTGATACCCGCAACCCTAAACTGTCCTAAACCCTATGGCGCATCCCAGAAGTTGGAACATGGCCTTAGGAGGATTCGTGCTAGGATCCCTTATGGATTACCTTAAGGGCATGGGGATACGAATGTTCTAGCTTTCTGGCTTCTACTTTAAGTAGGAGCTAAGGTTAGGGAGACCCTTGTAGATATAGACTCTCTCAATAAGGTCCCTTCTAAGAGAGCCACAAGTAGGGTTCAGAAGGGTCCCCTTTAAGGGGTCTCCCTACTACTACCCTAAACCCTAAACCCTAAACCCTAAACCCTAAACCCGAAACCCTAAAACCCTAAACCCTAAAACCCTAAAACCCCTTTTAAGGGGGTCTCCCTAATACTACCTAGGAGTAAGGTTACCGAAGCCCGCACATGTACGGAGGCAGGTCTTCAAGAAGCTCTGCAGCCGGCAACGCTTATAGGATTCAGGGGTTTAGGGTTTCGGGGTTTAGGGTTTGGGGGTTTAGGGTTTAGGGGTTGGGGGTTAAGGGTTTAGGTGTTGAGGGTTTAGGGGTTGGGGTTTAGGAGTTTAGGGTTCAGGGGTTTAGGGGTTTAGGGTTCAGGGGTTTAGGGTTGAGGGTGTAGGACCCTAAACCCCTAAACCTAACCCCTAAACCCTAACCCCTAAACCCTAACCCCTAAACCCTAACCCTCCTCAGACCCTGCGACCCCTAAGCCTCCAAGAAAGCCCAACACAAGGAAACTCTGAACAGGCACCAACAGCCGTATGGCCAAGCAAAACACTATACTATGCTATACTCCACTGTACTATGCCATGCTACACTGAACTATCCTGTACCATACCATACTATGCAGAACCATACTATAAGAAACTACTACACTATCCTCTACTCTTCTGTGCTCCTCTATGTCCTGCTATGCTATGACACGAAACATAACAGAATAGACTCTACCATACTCTTCTATGATATGTATATATATACACACATATATAT